GAGCTTATTAAATTTGGTAGATTTTATTTGGGGTTGGAAAGCTTGAAAGCTTCTCAGCTTATAAAAACTGTTGTTATGACTGGGATATCTACGAATAAAAACTACATTTTTGAAGCTTTTAGCATCTAAAGAAAATACAGCAAACCATAGCGCTGTAAAAAGGCTTCACAGTAGACAGAAGTGGAGCAAATTTGAAGATTTCATTAAAATAAACAAAACCTAAGATTCCCACTAAAAGCTTTCAAAACACAAATAAAAGCGCCTAGTTCTCTTATTTTAGCTGGCAGCAGCTATGCTATTTTTGCGTCACTACAGCAAAAGCACGGCTTTTAAGTTTAACTTTTAACTTTTTTAATGTTTTACCAAATAAAAAGCTCCAACAATTTGTAAATCACTAAAAGCTTTGTACCTCCTTAGAAGTTGTTACGTTAAAAAAAGGCACAATCCCATCCATTTACAGCTAAAATATTTCTTGTTTTTAAAAAGTAATACTTTTATCATGCTAAGAAACTTTTTTTTTAAGTTTTTGTCTTACTAAAAGCTTTTAGAAAAGGTAAAAAGCTCTGTTTAACAGCTTTTCCCCGCCACTATAACACTATAGCTAACTTTAAAAGTTTTAGCTAATACGAAAAGCTTCAAAAGCACAACAAGAAGCGTCCTTTTTAACGTGTAACTTTTAACTCTTGAGAAACTTTCACAAATATGGGGCTGTCTTTTTTTTTCTAAAACATGCTCAGCTAATTAGAACAATCACTTAAGCCAGGCTACACGTAGGGGTTATAAAAAGCAAAAATTTCCGAAATAAAGTTAAATTTTTATAAATTTTGGTTCTAATTGAATGACAGCTACAAAAGCTTCCAATCTGATATCTCTTTCACTCCCATTTGGCTTATAAGAAACATACTAAATTAAGTGCATACGGTGCGAAAATGAGGTGAAAGTTAGTGAATGCAAAAAGAAAATGAACAACCGAAATGAAACGAAACGAAAAATGATTGAAAATAAAGTGTTGAAAAAGCTGGTGTGTTGAACATGAGAATGATGAATAGATGAGCTGAATAAAAGCAGTAGAAATGTGATAGTTTATATGCGCAGTAAGCAGCTTTCGAGCATTGGCTTTGAAAGCTCTGATGAAAAAGCTTTGAGCTTGTAAGTTTCAACAATTAAAATATGAATTTCTGACGTAAGATTTCATAAGAAAGCAATGGCTTTTGTTTCAAACTTTCACTTTTAGAAAAGCCTTCACTGCGTAACTGAACTTTCATTTGTTTTCGAAAAGCTTGCATTGAAAGCTTTCACTTCATGACTAAGGCTTCGATTTAAATCACAGCTGCGTTCATTTACAGCGTTCGAAAGCTTTCTCCCTACCTGTGTGCGTACTGCGCGTCGTGCAATAAGCTACTAATATAAAAAAAAGCTTGCGTTAAAGTGCGGGAAGAGAAAGAGTGCGAGTACATTTACGTGCTGTGCGCATGCAAATTTCCTTTAAATCTACATAAACGCGCTAAATATATGTAGTGGGTGTGTCAAAGCATGCACACACACACATATACACACGAATGCAATCCAATTTGGCAACTTTCCCACTCACCTGGAACCGTGCGGTCATGCGTTGCTTGAAGCTCTGTGCAGCCTTTGGATCGGCTAGGCGCATATCCTGATACTTCTCCTCCAAATCGGACCAGTCCTTCATGACACGTGTGACCTTCTCGCGATGCGATTCCTCGAGGCGCTGTTGGGCTTCCTTGTTTTAGAATATGTTCGGTTTGTGTTGATAAAATGCACATTTCAATGGAGTACACTTACTTTTTGACTTACTTTGTAGCTCTGATGTTCGTAGTGCGGATCGAAGTGGGTGAAGTATGGGTCGACGGTCGGCTGGCTGGTCGATGGCGCCGAGGGCATTTGCTGCTGCTGTGCTGCCGGCAAGACTGGGCCATCGGCCATCATACCAGCGGCGCCCTTAACAACAGATTCAACGCCCAATTTGCCCTTTGCGCCACCCGCCTCATCTGCGTTGGACTTCACCGCTGTGGGTTTCGCGCCGCTTGAGCTACCATTCTGCAATTCCCAGTTGTCCGACTGCTCCTCAGCTGCGCCGCCACCATCCTCTTCGTAGTTGTCCAAATCCTCGCTCGAATCATATTCGCCATTCAAATCGTCCGCATTGGAGCTATTTGCCTCCCCAGCAGCTGCTTCATCGGCGACCATTTCGTCCTCCTCGTCATCGCCCATTAAGTCATCATCCTCGTCAAGATCATCATCGGCGCCGACATCCTTGGAGTAGTTTGAGTCGTTGTCATCATCGTTAGTCACATCCACATTGCTGTTGGTAATCTCAGCTGGGGCGATAACGGGCAGGTCGGTCTTCTTTACGCGTATCTCATCGGCTGAGGTGGGAAAGGGAGGGGAGAGAGAGAAAAGTTGTACGGTGTTAGTGAAATAGGAAAGCGGAAAAGATTAAGCGTTGCGAATGCAGGAGGTGGTGGTTACTCACCGCGCGCATAGTAGGCGAGGGTGGTGAGTGTATGTGGAGGAGAATTAGAAATTTAAAACAAGAAATCCTTGCATTGCGAATTTGTGAAGAGCTAGGGTATATTTTGCTAAGAAAATTTTATATATTCGAAGGCTGAGAAGGGATTGAGCTTTGGCAACAGCAGCCTGTTGGGGCCTAAGAATTTGTTATGGCAAAGTTTTCTGCTATTAAATATGCATTTAGTATTTCATGCTGTGGCTTTTAAAGCAGCGAGCAGCAAGTAGCAAGACCCGCGGGAAGCACAAAGCAATGCACGAATTTTCTTTGGCCTTGAAAGGCAACTGAGGAAATTTGCACATCCGGATGATGCGGAAAGTTTAGGAATTTCAAATATTTGGGGGAACAAAAGGAAATAAACTATATTCAATAGTAGACAAGGTAGGGTAAAAGTAGTACATATTCATTTATATTATTGGAAGAAGTTGACTAAGCTCAAAGGAGAGAGAAGTAGCATTGTCAAACTTAGAAACTCATCTAGGGAGTCCATATTTCATTTATTTTTTAATTTATACACCCTCGTAGTAAGAGTATTTTGTTTATTTGCTCATCCTTAAGCGGGTGGTACACCTCCCAACAGTGCTAACACTCACACTCTGCCATGACCCGCACAATCGACCTCAGCAAGCTGTTACATAGCTGCCATTGTTAACACATGCACACACATAAAAACAAATATTTTCACCACATGGCACGCTCTCCGCCCCCGCAGTGCGTGCATTCGCATTGACCCTCCTCGCCTTTGTATTACTCACTTTTGAAATGTTTCGGACAGCAAACGAATTCCACGCCAGAGAACAATGAAATACCGCAAGGCAACAACATGGCAAAGCTACGCATCTGCATTCCACGTTCCTGACAAGCAGCGGCGCCAGTTTGATTCCACCTCACGAATGGCCAGCAGCGCGATGCATTGTGAATGTGATCGAAGAGGCAACCTTCGGGGACGAGCAGTGCATCCGATTGGAATGGTCCTTCTGAAAGCAATTGCACACACACACACAATGAGTGACAAAATGATGGTAATGGAAAGAAAATGGAATGGAGAAAAATGCATGAAAGACGGAAGGCGAAGAAAGATAGAAAGAAATAGAGCGAAAGGGAGAGAGAAAGGAAGAGATGGCCACGAGGGCGATCCAAATTAGTTAGTTGGTTGATAAATGAAGACAAAACTTAATTTAAAATTTGCTTTATAGAGCGGAAATTACTTTTGACTCTCTTAAAAGAAAGATAATAAATACTCGCAGTAAATACTCTACTTTTTTCATTTCAGCTATGCACTGTTCTTTGTTTATCTTGCGTTTATTATGCTTTAAGCTTTATAATCTAAGTTTTTTCTAATGGATTTTTATTTCTGAGTTCTATATATTTAATGTTATATATTCTATGTTATGTATTCTATGCCTCATATCATATATCGCATATGAGTAATATTCTATACATATCCCCTGTTCTTTATTTTATGCTTTATTTTCTATGTTCTACATTTTATATGCTAGGCTCTGTGTTCTATGTTTTACATTCTATGTTCTATATTGTATGTTGTCTATATTATAGGCTCTATAATCCATTTTTATATGCTATATTGTATATGCTGTATTATAAATTCCATATTCTATATCCTAAATGCTGGCTTCTATATTCTATATTTTTTAAATATTATGTTATCTTTATATTTTATGTTATATGTATATTCTATGTTCTGTATTTTATGATCTATATCCTATATCGCATATGTATATTCAATATTCTATACCATATGTTCTATGTCTTATACTTTATATTCTATGTTCTACATTCTATGTTATCTATATTATATGTTCTCTATATTATATGCTCTCTATATTATATGCTCTCTATATTAATTGCCCTATATTTTATATTGTATATTCTATATTCTATGTTGTGTATTCTGTAATCTTTGTTCTATAATCCATATTATATACTCTATTTTGTATATTCTGTAATATACATTCCATATTCTATATCCTAAGTGCTATGCTCTAGACTATATATTCTAAATTCTATATTATATTTATCTTGATATTTTGCTGGCGTCATTTCTTCTAAGAGAGTCCTATATGCATTTTGATTTCACTTTTTTATTTCTCGTTATTTTTCTACTCACCCAAACAACGGAATGGTTTGATCCAGCGATGTGCCCCTTTACATTTGGCTGAGTTCAAAGCTCCCTGACGACACCAGCCACCGATTTTCTGATAATGCGAAGATTCAACAATGTTGGTTATGTCACGATTTGGATAGGCCTGCAAAAGAAAGAGAATAAAGAATGGGTAAGTTTGAGATCAATTCATATAAAGTAATCGCTGTTCGAAAGCGTATTTGTTTTGAGATAAAATAATTCAGTTGCTCCAGAAAAATGTGCTCTTCCTAATTCTTGCTTTTCGAGAGCCGCACCCAGAATGCTATCAAGGTTATGTAAAAGACATATACTTGAAGAGAAGTTTTTATTAACACCTCTCTCTATTTATAATTTGCTGAAACCTTACTGATGTCCTCAGCCAGCTCCGTGTTCTTTGTTTGTCAATTTCTATCTTGATTTCATTCATTGTGCTTTTTTTCCTCGATCACGCCTTTATTCCAAGGATCCAATATAAATTGGTAGTTGAAAAGCTTAGTTAGTGAACTTCGATTTAGTATCTACCCATTTGCCACAACCGATATTATATTCGCTATCTCCATTTTTAGCGGGACGAATATCTAAATTGTGACGAATAACTGCCCCTGTGGTCTGATGGACCTGTATATTCAACCCGTGACCGGCGCTAAATGTTGACATGCCGTAGGTCTGTCATTCCGACGCTTGGCGAACTGAGTCTAGGGAATGAGTCTTTGATGTCGCTTCGTGTGGACTAGTACCATTAGCGGATGGATATTTTTACAGACATATTTAGGACCCAATATTCGTCAATCTATATTTTCGATACCGAAAATAACTGATAGCAACCCGATCATTATTTCGTTGTCGATAATACTGAACATATTTAAAACGTTAACAAATCTTTATCAATATGAATGATTCTATAACTAGCGCCCAAAAAATACTATCATGATATCGATAACGATACATTTAAGAACAATATCAATAATAACAATTAAATTGTCAGCGATAAAAATATATCTTTAAAGATATCCATAACAGTAACGGTACGGATAACGATGAAAAAGTAGATAACAATTTCGATAGCGATAAATAAGTTTATAGTAAAACCGATAAACATGTCCACAACGATAGTTATATTGATAAAAACAATAGGAAGCGATAAAAATACATCGATAGCGACAAGTATACTAGTAATTTGTTTTACCGCAAATTTTAAGCGTATGCAAATGTGATAGGTATATCGATAACATTAAGTGTATCGATAAATATAAAGAAATCGATAGCGATAAAATTGTATGGATGCCAATAAATTAGCGTTTAAATTACTTTTCATTCGAATTTCGACGATAACAATAAGATAGGGATAAAATTAACCAATAATCCGTTATGGTGAAATTTGAAACAGGCGAAGTAATAAAACAGGTTTCTCGTTTCATTTTCTTGACATTCGGCTATCTTATAGGAATTCCTTAAATCTTTTAATCTTTTTTCTAGCTCTTACAACTACACCTGGCATAATTTCATCAGGCAATCAGTTTCTCTTAAGATTTTCAATGCCAGCGTTCGTGTCGTGAAAAATATTAACAAAAGTTTACATTTAATTTTCCTGTCACTTTGCGCTTTAATTTTGATATCCATCTCAGTCGCATAACAGCAAATTTAATTAGCAGTTAGATGAACTTTAATTGAAATGGAGAGACAAATTGTGACTGTTATTTGAGTTAACCCAAGCAGATGTGCTGATTCCGAAACGAAATTTAATTGCCAAAATGCAGCGTACAGTGGAGGACATAAATAAATGATGGCAATGTAAGATAAGTAGCTGAAAGCAGATATGCACAATTTGGCATTCGCTTGAGCGTGTGAGTGTGAGTGTTGGTGTAAGTGAGTAAGTGATTCAAGTGTTTGGATCAGGAAAGAGGAGTGAGAGGTTGAGACGACGCTGAGTGTATGTGTGTGTGTGTTTGCTGGCGTGAGTCATGTACAACCTTGACACGACATCAATGATGCGACGTGCGGCCTACGGCGTCCTCCAATGATGCAGCAACAACAAACGGCTGTGTAATTGAAACAACAACGAGTTGACAGCATATACAAATCAAAATCAATTTCGTTCAACTTAACTTGCCGCATACATCACCCAGTAATGATGACAGCTAACCAGCCACCAGCGCCACCATCGTCAAATCAGGCCGTGTCAAGGCAATCGCCAGCCAGCAGATTGAAGTGTGAGTGATTGAGTGTTGTTGCTGCTGTAGTTTGAGATGAAGGGTTCCTTACCCGGCGGCAGTTGGCAGTCCAGTTTGCAGGTGAGCGCGCTGACTGTGTTTGTTATGCACTCGATGCTGCTGCTTAGAAGCACTCCAATTACACGCACGCACATAAATCTGTGCGAATACTTGGAAACGCCTAAAACTAGGCAACGTTTGTCACTGCAGCCATACAGCGCTCAGGGCGACCAGCAGGCGGTTATTGCTAGTTGCTGCTGTGGCGCGTGGCGCGAGGCAAATGATCGTCGAGGGAGAGATGAAGGTGAAGAGGGAATATAAACACACATACCCACCCATATATATATGGGTGCCGCTGCTACACTACAACTGTTGCCAGTTAAACCAACTGTGCGTGCGTGCGGCAACGAATGACAAATAATTAAATTAGTTTTGCTATCTAAATTTGCAAAGCACATTCAGGCATACATGCATTCGCTCTTGCACACACAGTGCAGTTTCAACGAAGTGCGTTAACGTAAGCAGTCACACTCGTTTAATAGTCAGTTCCATACACACCAGTGCATCGGATGGCACTGGCGTTGAGGCGATTTCGGAAATTTATTAGAAAAGGTGTTGTGTGATACCCAATATTTCCTATATAATTGTCCTGTTTTATGACTCCAACACAAAAAGTTAATCTTGTTTCTAATATTTTTAAATTTACGTTAAAGTTTTCCTAACTTTTTTTTACCTCTTGGCCGATTTTTAATTATAGGCTATCGTAGAAAAAATATTTTGCCGTACTATTTTTTGTTTTGTTCAAATTCTGAAAATTTGTTTTCAACGTATTTTGCTTCAAAACTTATTTCTTTATAAACATTTTTTAATTTTTTTTTACAAACATTTTTTTTTAAATGATGTTTTTGAATATACAAATATTATTAATATACTTTTTATTTTTAAAAGATTTCAATGTTCAATACGATTTTCGGCTACTTTACTGCCATACTTTTTTAAAATTTATTGAAGTTGTTTATCGCGTGCTCAATTTTCAATTCCCAGGTTTCATTGAAAAAAAAAGGTTTTCACCCACATAAAATTTTATCTTAAAAAATTAATATGACGAAAATTTTGTGTAAAAAATTATAAATTTTTTTCAGAAAATATTTCTGTTATATTTGCAAGAAATATATTTAATGTAAAGTCAGCCACTTTTTAATAAAATTTTCCTTATTAATTTTGACTTAAGTCTCAAGTAGAATGTGTACTTGTGTATGTAGTTTTATCTTCAAGAAAATTGGCAAAGTATTTTTTGAACCGACATGAATTGACAGAAATTCTTTTTCCGTTTTCAAGTACAAGAATTTTAGGTTGGTATTTTTTTGAAAATTTTGGAAAGTGAATTTGCTGGTTAAAAATAAAACAAAGTAAGGTTTTATCCCTTTATCAATTTCTAATTTGAGTTATCGCTTAAAAAATATTTTTTCTTTAAAAAAAAAAGATAACTATTTTTTTTTTTTGTGGGCAGTAAATGAAAATATTAAAGTTTTTTAAATTTATATGGTTTTAAAAAAATTTAATGTTCTTTATATATTTTTCGGCAACGTTCAATCGATGTAGATTTTTTAAGTCAGCGTTATTTTAACCTACATAATTAAATTTTCTAAATTTCATCATTTTTTTTTTAATTTTTGAAATTTTTTAATTTGTGCTATTTCATGATTTATACCTTTAATATTAACTAAATAGTTGATCCGGCGAACTTGTCCTGCCCAAAACTTTTTTATTGAAACATTCTGATCCAACAATTTCACCCACAATTCCGCGAAGAAGTTCTTGGAATGTCCTCATGATCTGGCCTTTCAAAGCACGGTTAATCGAATAACGAAATAAATTTTAAGAACTTTTTCCTCTTCACTCATTGGCGGCAACAATGATCCACTTCAATTGTGAGTCTGTCCTTGAAACTGAATAGTATAGCTGGGGCCAATTTCAAAATGGGGGAGTCTAGTTGGTCTACAGAAATTCAAAATACATGGACTTATTTCCAACGAAATATCTTAAATATCTTTTCAAGGAGCGCAATAGTTCTGCTGGTTGAAGTCATTTGAGATTGACCCCTGGGCAAATCAGTGCTGCTGTCTCCGAATGAAGCTTTAACGCATAGTAATATTAGTACATAAATCACAGCCATTGGGCAAGTCGGAGCACACGGGAGTTCGGCATACTCAGTGGTGCAGCAGGGTCGCAATAATCGGAAATTCACGGCACTTTTTCTGACTTGACGTTTTTTTTAGTAGTAACTTGACTCCAGCGCCACCTGGCACTCGACGCCATCTCTACCTGGCGGCTGAAATTGTGAGCTGAAACTATCCAGAGAACCCCTCAATCACACACAACGCCCCCTTTTCAAACAGTCTCACTTTTCTCCATGAGTATGCGATTGCTTTCATATATATCCATACCACGTTCGAGTACTCTACGATGAACACTTCCAGAGATATGCAATATGAAAAGTGTAGTTTGAATGCGAGGTGCCATACCCCTTTTTCCAATAACCCCCATTTTCTTCCGTGAGTATTGAATTGACTTCATATTACCCATACTAAGATCTAGTACTTTACCATGAACACTTTCAGAGATATGCAGTATGAGAAATTCACCCTCTTTGTGTATCCAAATTATTAACCTATAACCATACTGGAAACAGTAGGTGTCGGAAATTGTAAAAAAATAACAGAAAAAAATGGCTTTAAAAATATATATTAGTAAAGATAATTCAACTGCAGCGCCCCATTGCTGATAAATTTTTTGCAGAGTTGTTTTTCTTCCCCTTACGAATACATATGTATACATATAGAACATGACCGAAATCGGACAAAAAATACGATTTTAGTGATAACACGATTACAGCGCCACCTATTGGGGTTTT